GATTTGGTCTAAATCCATGTTGTTCCTTATCATGCAAACAATTGGTTTCTAGAAAATGTACTAATTGATTGTAGGCTGCTCTTTCAAAAATTTTAGAAAAGGTTGGTAATAATGATAATGGCCTGTAGTTGGCTAGATTTTGTGCATCTCCTTTTTTGAGGATCGGGATTACCTTTGCAATTTTGAGTTTTGACAGAAAAATCCTACTAATAAAAGATGAATTGATTAAGTGGACTATTGGTTTTATTAGTTGATTGCTTGCTTTCTTTTATCATTGGAACCTCTCAACCTCATCATATCCAGTTGAAAGTTTATTTTAAAAGAACTTAAATTTTTTTTATTTCAATTTCTGTAGGCTAACTGGTCTAAATTTAAAATTTTGATTTGTAAAATTATTGAAACAAGGCAGAGCATCATTGTTATTTTGACTATTTGGATCTAACTGTGGAATTATCGAACGTTCAACATAACTGGAGAAAAAATCATTAAAATTTCCTGCGGATCTTCTAATGTATGGTCGTTATATACAATTTCAATGTTGCTACACTGTTTTTTCTTACTACCAATCTCAGAGTTGAGGATCTGCCAGGTTGTTTTACTAACGTTTTTAGATTCTTCTATTTTATTTTTATAAAAATCTTTCTTTTTTTTAATTAAATTCTGTTTGTAATTTTTTCTTAAAGTTTTAATTCTGTTAAACATTTCTTGATTTTCTTGATTTTTTTATGTAGGGCCCGGCATAGGCTATTTTAGGACTTTAAGTATTTGTATGATACATTATATAAATTAGGCTTAACTTACTTAACTGTATCCGCAATGTAAAATTTACTTAAGTAGGATACAGGTAAGCTTGAGTACTTTTCAGAAAGTTTAACAAACTAAACTTATAGAAGTTAAGTAAATAAGGTGTGGAAAGCGAATAGGGCCTCTTGTCGGGAATATTTTATTTTGAGTTATATATATTAGCCTATAGGCCTATTTTAATTCCTTATTAAATTCCAAATCACTTGGTGCAACTCCCATGCATCTATGATTTTTTTTTTGTTAAAGTTATAGGACTTTGAAATTATGTTAGGGTATGGAAAGGGTCATTTTGAGGAATTTTATTTTTGAAAATTTCAAACACCGTAGGCTACGTATAAAAACGGTAGGCCAATTTTTATTTTTTTTTTATTTAAGAAACAGTTGGTAGGTATCAAAAGGAAGCTTATAATTTCCTCTTCGGAGGCAATACCAATTTTTGTCTTAACTCACAGTAGTTTTCATTTAAATAATTGTTTTACCGAAGCGTGTCGTAAAAATCACATTTCAGAAAACTATGTTATTCCTCTATAAGATCAAAAAGGGTCTATCCATATCAAGTGATCCAACAGGGGTTGCTTGACCATTTTTTAAATAAATAATATTTTTATCCTAGATACCTTTATCAATTCTGGGTTTAAAAGTGATTTTAAAATTTTTTTATCTATTTTGTTACTTCTACGGCGGCCATTTTTGTTTTGCGGAACACGCAAATTTTTCCTCATGTAAGGGTTTGCGTTAACTTGCACAACTCGGTAACCATGAACACTAGAGTGATGAAACAAAAAGCATTTTAATCTGGAAGAAACAGCCTAAATATTATGTTCAGTACATATTTATTGAAATGTGTATCAAAAACAGTTTTAAACCCATCTCAACATTTCACAAGAAAACGGAAAAATTTCAACTTTTGAAGGCGTATTGCCATTGGAACGAATAAAATCTCAGACTTGATTTTTTTGTGTGTGTAGCAACTCAGTAGAACTGTTTGTATTTCAAATATCAACCATGAGACTTAATTCCTTTAAAAGTTATCATTTTTCAAAAACTGAATTTTTTTTAAAAGTTCAAATTTTGAGTCTCAATATCTTTGTTGGGACAAAGTTTAAAAATCTGAAATTTTTACCAAAAACCCCTCTTATGGTTGTTATACTGCTGTATGAATTTCATCTTTGAGATTTACTTTTAAGCTAAGTTACAGTATCATGAAAATCGCAAAAACCCCATAAGCTCAGCCAACGCGGCTAGTACTGTAGATAGCTTAAAAATTAATTTATAGGTGTAGGTAATTATTTTATTTAATGTAATCTTACCTAACTTAGGCCTACTTTAAAGTAATGTATAGCCTTTTCTTGCAAATTTCTTGTCTTATGTGAAATTTAAAAAAAAACTTTTTATCAGATTATTTTCATTCAGGTTTACACCTTTTTTCAATAGGCCTAAATATTTTGAACTCATTTATTAATTTATTGAACCACTTTCATTTTAATAAAGAATATTAGAAATTTTACATACAAAAGCTGTTTGAAAGACAAGTTCTTAAAGTATACAACTTTTTTTACTTGTTAGTGTTTTTTGTTCTACTTTGATCATGCTAATTAGGAAGTTTGGATGTTTCTTCATTCAGTTTGGGTTTGTCCTTCCAGTGGTTTTTGTCAGTTAAAAGAGATTTAATTTTCTCAAAACTTTGTTTATAGGCACCCAAGCTTGGTCTTTCTAATTTGTTTTAAAGGCGGTTGGTTGTTGGTCCTGCTGGATCTTTATTTTGATAACTGATGTCAATCACCTCTGTCACCCACCACTGTCATACACAAATGCAATAGAGTCTTTGGTATGAAGTGTAATTTTTACAGCTTTCAGTTGCTAGTGAGGTTACGAAGCACCTAACATTACTACTGTCCGGTACAGGAATAAAACAATGGAAGCTTCTTGTTCCAGTAATCTTTAAACAGTTCTCAAATCGGTCCAGGAGTTTGTTGTTGTGGTGTTGAGTGATTTCTTCATCTGTTATAAAAATGAATTATTTTGTTAAGAAAAACTGTGTTTTGTGACTCATTTACAACTTCCTGTAGGTACTGGAGACTGTATCAGTTACCACAGAATATGAGTTATTTTTTTTTTTTCAAAATACCACAATAAACACTTTATTGATTTGTGTTATACAGGTTACGGTACATTAAATCTAAATGGAAAATAAATTTTAAGACCTCAATATAAATAGAATTAAAACTAGGCTAAGTTTTATTTAAGTTAAATGATGAATAAAACTTAAAATTTAGCAGGATTTTATTTATTTTTAGTACCGTAGCGGTACATAATGGCCTAATTTGTACTTTGGGTACAAAGTTTAATTAAAAATCTGTTTTGGATTTTTGTAATGTACATTAAGATAAGTTTACATTAAATAAAATAATTACCTACACCTATAAATTAATCTTTAAGCTACCTACAGTACTAGCCACGTTGGCCGAGCTTATGGGTTTTTTGTGATTTTCATGATACTGTAACTTAGCTTAAAAGTAAATCTCAAAGATGAAATTCATACAGCAGTATAACAACCATAAGAGGGGTTTTTGGTAAAAATTTCAGATTTTTAAACTTTGTCCCAACAAAGATATTGAGACTCAAAATTTGAATTAAAAAAAAAATCAGTTTTTGAAAAATGATAACTTTTAAAGGAATTAAGTCTCATGGTTGATATTTGAAATACAAACAGTTCTACTGAGTTGCTACACACACAAAAAAATCAAGTCTGAGATTTTATTCGTTCCAATGGCAATACGCCTTCAAAAGTTGAAATTTTTCCGTTTTCTTGTGAAATGTTGAGCTGGGTTTAAAACTGTTTTTGATACACATTTCAATAAATATGTACTGAACATAATATTTAGGCTGTTTCTTCCAGATTAAAATGCTTTTTGTTTCATCACTCTAGTGTTCATGGTTACCGAGTTGTGCAAGTTAACGCAAACCCTTACATGAGCAAAAATTTGCGTGTTCCGCAAAACAAAAATGGCCGCCGTAGAAGTAACAAAAGAGATAAAAAAAAATTAAAATCACTTTTGAACCCAGAATTGATAGAGGTATCTAGAATAAAATTATTATTTACTTTAAAAATGGTCAAGCAACCAATTATTTTATTTCTGGATCACTTGATATGGATTGACCCAAAAAGGTAGCCTAAGTTAGGTAACCTCTTGTCAGGACCGCAAAATTTGTGAGATTTTTTTTGTTCTTCACAAACTGAACTTTGTTGTAGTTCTCTTAGCTAAGTTAAATTTCCACTAGAATGCAGGACAATTCATTTTTTGGACTAAAGTCTATTTATTAAGTGAATAGGCCTAGGCTATTGGAAATGGGACCTCTTGTCGTCACAGCTAAATAACATTGAGCGACAAGAGGAAACTTACCGTACCTTTTCTCAGACAGTGCAGAGGCTATAAAAAATTTATTTATTTTGACCTTTTACATCTTCAATTTGATATTTTAATCGATACTGTCCGAATCTACGTTAAATGAGATAAAACAATCAGGTACAGTTTCTTAACTGGGGTAGGCCTATGCTAATATCGATTTAAACTAAACTTATCGATTCGATTAGTATAAACAAGCCTTCAATGCAATTTTTTCATTAGCAGCTAGGCCTAGGGTAGATTAGGTTAACTTGGTTGACAGTTTCAATTGATAAGTAATTAGATTAAGTTTAAGTTAGGTATACTTAAAAATATAGATTCTTAATCAATAGCATAAGCTACTTATCTTAGCCCAGTTATGAAACTGTACACAAAAAATCGATAAAACCCTGAATTTCAATGTTTTTGATTTGACTTAGGCCTAATTAATTAATTATATCGGCCGTAGGCCTACTGAAAATTTTGCATCCCCGACAAGAGGTCCTTTTCGCTTTCCACATCACAAAAAATAAGGTTAATAAGTTAATGATAAATGATTTTATCATTTACTAAGGTTAGGAAACCAGAGTTGAACCTAACCTGTATGTTACCATAAGTTACTACCTTAGCCTTAACTAACCTCGCTGTATTTTGTTAGTATTTCTTTAAATGAGTGCTCATTTTACAACAGTAACATCCCTACCTGTTCATTGGTTAATTTTTGTGTTAAACCAATAGGCCTAACTTAACTTGAGTTAGGCTTCATTACAGCCTAGGCCTAACTGTTAAATAGACTAACGGTTTACTTACCACTTGATTGCTGAAAAATCAAAGCACTCTCAAAAAAACTGGAAGGCAAAAATTTTCAAGATTAAGTTATATAATTTTTGAAGACACGTAAATGAGCACTAAGCCTTGATCATAGTTCAACTCAACTTCATTCGCGAAAGCCAACTCAAATTATCAACAAAGCACCTTCAACATCACGCACCTTGCCAGTTCGCTACTGAAACTGAACTGAATTCGAAACATCGGTGTATGTATGTGAACGTGAACAAGGGAGGGAACAGAACAGAACAGGAACAGACACCCGAACCCCGAACTCGCACTGACAGAAGCAGAAGGGCAGAATGTTGAAGTTGAAGGTAGGGTACTATGTGGCACAAGATGGCCACTGAATGATGAACAGTTAAAACTGTACTTGAAAATCAAGAAAGGTATTTTTAAGACAGTTATTTTATACTGGTGAGGTATAGGAGTAAAATATGGTTTTATTTTTATTTGTACGTTTTATGTCACAAAAGATCAAAAATAGGCATTTTTTCTCAAAGTGAAATATGATTTGACTTCAAATAAACTGTTGAAATCAGCTGTTTCTTGTGAACATATGATCAGGAAATCAGTTCCGTCGTTTCTCTGTCTGAAACTGATGAAATGAAAATATCCAATGGAGATTGGAGTTCGGAGTTGGAGAAGTCAGCTGTTGTCATATTCAAAAGTCAGTCAAGACATCATCACATCACAACACAACCTTTTCTAACCTCTTCGTTTTGTGTCTAGTTCAATAATAGTGATTTTGCAATGTGTAATATTACTAATAATTTTTATATGTGTAGCCTATTATTTAGGTTCTCTTTAATTCTTATATAGTTCGTTGGTTATAAGGTTTGGTAGCTGTTGTAGGCCTAACTTAATTATTTTACTGTAAGTTTGGCTATCCAATGTCTGCATTCAAGCATTTAGGTAAACACTTTACTACCCCATGGTGCCTTATTACTAAAACTAAACGTCAGAAAAACATATTAAAGTTGAAAACCCGTCGAGAGTTATCATTTAATGCTGATGTTAAGTATGATGTCATTGTGGTTGGCGGAGGACATGCAGGAACAGAAGCTTGTTCCGCGTCTGCGAGGATGGGCTCGAAGACATTACTTATCACACATAAACTGGAAACTGTTGGTGAGTTATATTCAGATTTTTATTGACAAGTTTCTTCAATCCTCTTAATTTTATTTGAATTTCTCTGCCTCTTGTTCAGTGGTGTAGTCGTAAATTTTCCAGTATGGGAACCCTCACAATTTTCACAGAAAAATACAGGTCGCTTACCAATATATAAGTTAGGTTCTTTGAAAAAAGCAGTGTGCACGCACCACGGCTCTTATTACAGACTTGGTCACTGTTAGTTAAGTTATTCAGAACTGGAGTTTTAGGTATCGGTTAAGCTTATGCACCGGTATGCACACTAACTTACAGTAAGAACAGTGAGCCTTGACCGGGATATTTAGGGAAATTTTACTGGAACACGGGCCCACAATTGTGACAGGCTCAGCCACTCGGGCCCCCTATCATTACAATATTTATATGAGAATAACCATAGGTTTTTTTATGACAAAAATCTGTTAAACCCAGTAAGAGCACTAGTAAGTTACAAGTAGTTTACAACAGCTAATCTGACACTATTACTTGGCCGATTGATATAAATTCTCTACCAACCTAAGTAAGTTAAACTTAATAGATTTGTCATCAGTCATGCAGGTTGCATCAACTGTCCTCGTGGACTTTGTGAAGGCGCTATATATAATAGGGTCGTTAACCAATGTGGTCCCCGGCCTAAGAGGATAACAAATTTATGCTACCTAATCCTCCGCTGGCGGGGCACATCAGCTGGCCATCAATGCTCATTCAACTAAGTTAAATTATAACTTTGCAATTTTGTTCGATCAAATCGGCAAATTAACTTAAAGAAGGATTTTCATTTCATTTCTTTCTAGTAGGAGGCTGCACTTTAGATTTGTTTACTTTGAGTCAGGTAAAAAATGTTACTTACTTATAGGCCTCAGGCCAATTCAGATCGCTTCCAAATCGGTTTGATTTGGAAAATGTTGATTTTTTCATAGGCTAATGTTGATTTTCGAGCCGAGCAGAGCCTGGCCTAAAAACTTGAGAGATGAAGCACAAAGTCAGAAAATCAAGCTCAAGCTGATTTTCTCAGTACTCAATACAATAATGCCCAATTAAAAGTAAAAGCATAGCCTATAGGTACGGTAAGTCAGCGACGATCACCCTCACAAAATTGAAAGATTAGGCCTACGTTTTTGACATAAAATGAGATTACAATCCTGTCGTCAATCAGTCCTCTATTGTCTTGGATGACTAGGCTATAGTTTTAGGGTTAAAACCCCATTTTCAAAAAAATCTCTTCAGTTGTCAAATGTCAAACATATTCTCTTGCATAAGCCGTCGTCAAAATAACTTAACACATACACATAAAAACACACAAAAACATTTATAATTATAAATCATGTACATGCGCGTGAGGCCGGCCAATGACAAAACCAGACTGAGCAGACTGATAATCAAACCCCGCAGTCTGCTACATGATTTATAACTATAAATGTTTTCGTGTGTGTTTATGTATATGTGTGAAGTAATTTTGACGACGGCTTATGCAAGAGAATATGTTTGACATTTGACGAATGAAGAGAAGATTTGAAAATGGGGTTTTAACCCCGAAACTATAGTCATCCAAGACAATAGAGGACTGATTGACGACAGGTTAGTAACCTCATTTTATGTCAATAGATCAATCCTGGAGGCAAATTATGTATAAACCTACGTTTTTGCCGCAATCGTGGATATCGACGAGAACATTACCCTGCCGATGACGATGTCTCCGCGGCCACAGGGGACGTTCAATATTTTGCCGCGATTACGTAAAAAAATATTTCCTCGTCACCACGGGTCGTGAGAGATATTAGGGATTGGGCCGTGAACGCGGGAGACGATGATGTTATCTGATGATGTCATAGGTTTAGTTGCAATCACAGTAGACTATGATAATGTTTCTTCCATGACTACGGGAAGTAGGCTATTCACAATCATAGTAGACGATGATGATGCCTAGGTGCTTCGGGAGACACCGTGCCAAGCTAAAGTGTAAGTTTAGGCGTTAATACATGTGATATAATATTTGTAAACATTATTGGGAGAGGGGGGCCCGGCGAGCAAACTTGCGGGGGAGGGGCCCGTGGGCTCTTATCGCCGCCACTGAGTAAGAAACCTTCGAAGGCCTTGAGATCAGGGTTGTCACCTTTGGTTAGGGAAAAATCGGGGCCCCACCCCCACCCAATTATTAACATAGGCATGAATACAAGTAGGCCTACAAGGGACCGAAGTCGGGACTCAGGTGGCAACCTTGCGATGTATGGATCCAATTCAACTAAACAACTAGAATAATTAGGCTATAGATCCTGAAAACCACCATTAAGCCTACCTATTGCCTACTATTGGTTGATTGAATTCATCACCCATGGAATTCCCCCAAGGAATGACATGTTGATATATTACAATCCGACTGTGAATCTGGTACAATCATGTACCCTGGAGGCTGGACTTAGTCAATGGGTGCTGTCTTAATGTAACTTACTTGAAAATTGGTTGGTCTGTTGGTCTAGACTTACTACATTTAACACATTTATTAAGACACATGGACATGGATTTAGCTCTAAGGGTGATAATTAAAACAAATAAAGATACAAGTTATGTTAGCTATTTGTTATTGGTTTGTTTTTGTAGGTGAAATGTCATGTAACCCAGCCTTTGGAGGAATTGGCAAAGGACATTTAATGAGAGAGATTGACGCCTTAGATGGAGTTTGCTGCAGGATTTGTGATAGATCCGGAATACAATACAAGGTAGGGTACATTGTGTGTGTTTTTGCAAAAAAGCAGATCTTAACTATACGTTTAAAATGCTTGAATCCTATTAATCTGTGTAAAAAACACTCTTTGGTCCAATCCCACAAGGAAAAATCTGCTATATATTATTGGATGAATAAAATAGCCTAACTTATATCGATATCTATTTGGTTCGATAATAATATCGTATTGAATTTAATACCATATGAAATAAAAACTATAACATAACATTATCAAAGCTTTTTTCTTTATTTTATCTGTATAGTTTTTTTAGATACTTAAGAATAAAAATGGAGTAAACTATAACATAACATTAGCAAAGCTTTTTTCTTTATTTTATCCGTATAGTTTTTTTTTTTAGATATTTAAGAATAAAAATGGAGTAAACTGTGAATTTTCGATTTCTATGTGGTTACCATTATCAATATGGTAGTACAGAAAATGAAAAACAGTCTTTGGTTGAATATTGTTTATTAAATAAATATGAATAAAATCTTAAACATACCATAAAAAATCAATTCAATGTTTAGGAAAAATCTCAATTAGGAAAACACTATATTTTGTAATTGATATATTGAATTGGATAAACATAGATATTTATTGTCATTCATCTGATTATATATCACAGGTTCTCTGCGAAACTGTACCTATGTTGTTTCTCATGCAAGTGTTTATCTATTCAGGTATTAAACACCAGAAAGGGCCCAGCTGTTTGGGGTCCAAGAGCTCAAATTGATAGGAAACTGTACAAACAGAATGTTCAAGAGGAACTGTTCAAGAACACGCCCAACCTGGATGTCTTGGTAGCGTCAGTGGAAGACTTGTTGTTGGAGCAGCCTACCAACCCCAGCAGTGACCAAGTACTTCAGCAGTGTGTAGGGGTGGTTTTGAGTAAGTAAAATAACCGTGATTGCTGGCAAGGCTGATTCATCCTCTCCAGCATCCCAGAAAACCTTTTAAACAATTCCGCCAACTCCCAAGCATACCCCCACCACCGCAGCAAACATACAAACTAAGCAAATTCCCATTTGCTTTATCAGATTTTTTTTTTAACTAGTGCCCTGTAGCATAGCCCCTAATTTAGACACTCCAGAGTCCATATAAAGGCAACTCCCCATTTTGCGGTAGTACCTAAGTCAGAAATATATCTATGAGTTTGTCCCGGAATTTTAAAACAGTATTTCCCGGAATCTCTTTTTGTGTAGCGGAAAGCGACACAAAAGCTATTGCACTGTTGTATTGCCTTATGTTTTTTATGAAGTTAGAATCATGTAAAAACATTTCTTTTAGTTTGTCATTAAATTGTGCTTGTGGCATGTAAATGAGTCCATCGTGGTAACATGCGTTGAAATGTCCATTTGTAGCCTTCTATGCGAAGTTAAATCAATCAATCAATCAATCAATCTTTATTTCCCATAAGGATACATTTACATATCATTGACAAAGTCTATTTGCAGTTTTAAAACCAAGTCTTAAAATAAACAACAAAATACTCTTACAGGCCAAATATTACAATTAACATTCAACTCCATTCACATTCTTAACTGAAATTAAAACCAAACTAAAGGACAATTTCTCCCAGTTTAAAATAATCATCCAGACTATAAAAAGGGTTCTGAAGTAGATAATTATAAAACATGGCCTTAAATTTGTTAATTGAATGAAAATTTATATTATTTTTTACTGAATTATACACTTTAATTGATAAAATTATGTGGAAATTACTAGTTTTACTAAGACGATGGGATTCTAACAGCGCAGTATTTTTAAAACGAGTGTTGTGACTGTGATTATTAAATTGAAGATATTCAGGGTTTTTTAATATATAAACAATCAGATCATAAATGAACAAATTTACTGCAGTTTGAATTTGCAGATCTATAAAAAGAGGTTTGCAATGATCAGGGTGCGTCCCTGTCATAGCTCTTAAAGCCCTTTTTTGGAGAATCAAAATTTCTTTTATTCTACTACTACCACCCCAAAGCACCAATCCGTATCTAATGATTGACTGGAAGTACGCAAAATAGGCCGTCCTTACATATTTCTTAGGAACCTGATTTACCAGACGATCTAAAAGATGCACCACACGAGACAATCTTGAAGATAAATAATCTATGTGACCATTCCATGTGAGTTGATTATCAATTTGAAGGCCCAAAAATTTTACAGCTGTGCTATTATTTAGATCACTCGTAGTGGGGATTTGTTTTAGTGTAAAAATCATGTTTTGGGTTTTTTCTTCATTAAGCAAAAATCCATTCGCATTAAACCAATTTGATGCTTTTAGCTTTGTTTCATGGACAAGATTTTTTAGTTCTGTTAGGTTGGGGTTTACATGAAAAAATGTTGTATCGTCAGCATAAAGAATAGTTTGACTCTTTACTGCCAATGGAAGGTCATTAAAATAAATTAAAAATAAAAGTGGACAAAGGACTGAGCCTTGGGGAACGCCCCATTTTACATTCTTTTCTTGTGACGTATTGCCATTATGCCACAATTAAAATTGCGCCAGTAAAATGCGCCACAATGCATGCAAGTGATGTTAACACGTTCACTGCGGCCTACTGTTATAGCAGTAGCACTGCACACGGCCTACTGCTATATCAGTAGTGTGCTCGCCTGCCAAATATTGCGTCTGTCTGAGCCCAGCTGGGGACGCTGTGATTGTTGCCAGGCTGTATCTTAGAATACAAGCTTTATTTTGGGTAGGTTGGTACTAAACATTCCTGTAAAATCCTGTCTGGCAATGCTTTTGTCCCGGTTTTGAGGATTTTCTCTATTCGAGCCATATTACAAAGGCTCTGGTTATTGATCCAGGCGGTGCTGCTACCTTTGGGTGTTTCAGTGAACTACGTCTACATTCGGGGTAGATCGCAGAACAATCATCACTGCTCTTTCCTGATTCGTCTTGAGATTCAGATTATTTGAATGCCAATAGCGATCGCTGATTCAGTTAGCACGTCGTGGCTCTGCTTGGGCCTTGTCGCAGTTTACAAGCGCCTGTGTAAAGATTTTCAGCGGCGAAACAACACTCAACTCATTTTCCAGTGTTCTTCTGAAGGCATGCTGTTAACCAGCTTGTGGATTTCTTCCTGTGCAGGTTTGCCTGAACAGGCTCACACACACGCTCCAATATACCCGTTCAGGTTACCTGCACAGTTATACCTCATCAGTATACCGTAACGTAACGTGTATGGCCGGGCTTACATTGTGTCAAATAAAGATGTTAGGTGTACAGCACATCTAATGTTCGCTGTGGGACAGCCAATATCATGAAAGTGTTTACTGTAAAACGCCTTGTATAGTACCAGCCTCTGTGTGAATTTTCCTTTTATTTCATAGTGTCTGATTGAATGAAAATTCAACTATTATAACCCTTTAGTCTGTGACATGTTTCTGCCACCGAAGTATTGTTCTTGTACCTCTTGCCTTACATTGGCGTTTAACTTGCAGAGAACGGACAGACAGTGAGGTGCCAAAGTGTTATTCTAACCACAGGAACTTTCCTGAAGGGTCAGATAAACATTGGCCTAGACGTCAGACCTGCGGGACGGATGGGAGACGAGCCAGCAATTGGTCTGGCCGATACTCTGCATAGATTGGACTTCAGGATGGGGCGACTCAAAACTGGTTGGTTTAAAATTATAGTTTTTACTGTATTGTACTTTAGAAATTAGCAATAACAGTTTTTTCTGAACCAGGTCTGAACACACATCTAACAGAAGGCTTTATAGACATAGCTTATGAATTTCTGGATTACTCTTTAGCCGATACTTGTAACAAGGTGTTCATTGTAAGCTTAATCGCGTTGCAATAATACCATAGATCGTTTGACCTACTGAGGATTTTTTGAAAGATTTTTATCAAAAAATTAAACCTACTGTTTAAGTTCCGGCAGGATCCAGGAAAAATTTCAGCTTTGGCAGCGCCTGCAAACTGTGAGATATGGAAGTGCAGCAAACCAGGATAGCAGAATTTTACCCCTCCTTCCTCCCCCCCTGGAATTTTTATCTCCCGACTAAAACTGACGTCACAGCCAAAGGGGGGGAGGGTAAAAAAACTTTTGTTTCAAATCTTGCCTTGTGTGCACCATCTATTGGTCTTATGTGACAATTGAGTGCGGTAAACTACCTCGGCCGCTTGTCCTTGTGCTGCGGATCAATTAATTAATATTAATGGTAGGGCCTATTTTAAAAGGTTAAAGATAGAAAATAGAGATTTTATTATTTATTGTTATTCACTCTACAAATGTTGCAGTTTGTGATGTTTCTTTAATAAAAATAAAACATAATTTTTTACTTAACTATTTATTTTACTTGGACATTAAAAGCATTTTAAGCTTTTTTAGCGAATTTTTCTACAGGGAAGAAGCTATTAGCGTAAGCGGCATGAAAAGATATAGAACTGATAAACATTTTCATTTTTTTTGTCCCAAGAGGACAAAAGCCAAGTTGTGAGTATTCATTAAATTTTTTTGCCATATGTGTGTCCATGAACACAAAATCTCAAATAATTTTGGTCTGATTTTTAAAACGTTTTTATTAGGTCGCTTTCTTGTCCGGTACAAATTTTGCAATCAATTTTATACCAACTTCCCGATGAGCTAGAGACTTGAAACTTGAAACATAGCTCACAAATGGAAGACAATGCAATATAATATCATTTAATTTTCATATTTCCCTTGGGCTACGCCCCATGGGCTTGTTTTTATTAACTCGCTTTCTTGCAAATTTGGATACTTCCCGATGAGCTAGAGACTTGAAACTTGAAACATAGCTCACAAATGGATGACAATGCAATATTATATCATTTAATCATCATATTTACCTTGGGCTACGCCCCATGGGCTTGTTTTTATTAGCTCGCTTTCTTACAAATTTTGATATAAATTTTAAACGAAGTTCCTGATGAGCTAGAGACTTGAAATTTGAAACATAGCTCACAAATGGATGACAATGCAATATTATATCATTTCATTTTCATATTTCCCTTGGGCTATGCCCCATGGGCTTCCAAATTTTTCATGTTTACATTTTGAAAGAATGTAAATATATCAACTAATTTAAGTCAGCTGTAAATACTTAAATTTGACAGTTCGAAGAGCAGAGGTTAAGAGGTACAGGTTATGCTCCCAAGAGATTATTTATACAAACAAACATTTCAAAATAAAGATAATCTGATTGCAGGTATAAAGGTGTTTGTTAATTTTTTGTCAATTGTTATTTATTTAGTATTCTATAAAGTAACATCTACACACATTAAAAACTAAAAAGTAGAAAATAATTTATAAATAAAAAACCTTTTTAAAACAAAACGTTTTTAAACGCACTAAAAAGTAGACAATAATTTTTAAATATGTGGAGAGTATAAATACTTGTAAGATTTAAAACGAAAAACGTGGGGTGCATGTAGTTGATAATAATACATTAGTTAAATAGGTGAAGGTAATTGTAAATGATCTATTGCATGCACCCCACGTTTTTCGTTTTAAATCTTACAAGTATTTATACTCTCCACATATTTAAAAATTATTGTCTACTTTTTAGTGCGTTTAAAAACGTTTTGTTTTAAAAAGGTTTTTTATTTATAAATTATTTTAAATAAATGTGGCTAGAGCTGAATAAACTGGAATAAGTTTGCAAACCAGCAAGATTTTTGGATTTTGGAATTTCAAACATTGGTTTTTTTTTACGCTTAAAACATGGTACAGTTGAACCTCGTTTGTACGAACCTCGATAAAACGAATTCCTCGATAAGACGAATTTTTTTAAATCCCCTTGACACTTTCATATAGGTTAATGCTAAAAACACCTCTATACAACGTTGTAATTAAGTTAAAAGCCTCCATAAGACGAATTTGTTTGTGACATGGGCTAGGACTGATTAACCTCTATACAACGAATATTCTTAGCACAAAACCTCTACAAGACGAACGTGACCTCTATAAGACGAATTTATCATAATCTTAACCCCCATAGTACGTAGTTTTCAAAACAAACAGAAGCTTGTCTCAACATGAAACCCCCACCCATCCCTCCTCTTTCCTCAGTCATTGTTTGGAGAAAACTTGGAGCGACGAGAAACCTCTATAAGAAGAATAACAGCAGCATTAAACCTCGATAAAACGACCCTCTTTATTAAGAATACCTCTATAGTAAGAATTTTTCCCGTACCCCTTGAAATTCGTCTTATAGAGGTTCAACTGTAATGCTCAATTTTTATTTAATTTTTTTTATATTATTTAGGTTTGCTATACAATTAAAGGTAACCTAGAAAATTAAAAATACCCCTGCCACAGCACACCTGCAGACTAAGCAAATTTCCCTTTGCCTGGTTGGATTTTTATTTTTACTTAAATATTCCCTTAAACATGCCAGATTTATTCCCTACAGTAGACTTCCTTTTATTACTCGTCGGGACCGAGGCCAGTCCCGTTTTTCCGGGTTGATCCGACGTTCCCAAAAACTCATTAAAACGGAACGTTTAAATGCATACTGTATAAGCAGATACCTAATGATTATTACGTATTTAGACACTTGATCACTGATCTCAAATCTTTCCCACGGGTTAAAGAGATGTCATTTAGTTTTGATATGTAATGGCATTTGCGGTAGGAATAAATAAATAAATTTCTGCTGAATGTAGCCCGGTTTAAAGGTGTCCGGATAAGAGGGAGTCTACTGTATTGAAATAAAACTAGGTTTAACAAGTACCTAGGTTTGCTGCTACAAGAAGGGTAATAAAGTGTGTTTTTTAGTAAGATATTAATAGCTTAGTATAAAATTAAATACGTTAATATTTCCATTAACAAGCAAACTAGGCCTACTGTACTGTACCACAGTTAACTTATTTTCCATAAGAATATCATGGGAATTTTAAATTTACTTTTTATTTTAATTTTTGCCGTGACCATTAAAAACTTCAATATAATAAATTATTTTTTTCTTTAAGCTCTTGTTTCTAAACAGCTTGTAAAGATATTGGGAAATTTCAAATTTTATGTCTTGAGGGCCACAGTTGAAAAAAACCCATTTTTAACCTATAAAACCCCGTTCCCATGGTCCAATCATGCTGGTTCGCAAACTCATTTGAATAAGTATGTTTACTTGTTTGTACCAAATTTCATCAAAATGTTTGCTTGAGCTATTGTGCTAACGGACACGTATATATAAAAAATTAATAAAACCAGTGTTGGTGTTTTGGACTCTGGGGACAGCAAAACAAAAAAAAGTAAATCAGTCCCTGATACATTTGACTCATTAAACGCAATAGACATATATTTTTTTACTGTTGCACATTCTCTCTGGTATAGGATGTAATTATCTGATAATATAATGCGGACCATGAGACCTTTGGTAATAAGCTTATGCCATTATTGTAAATGGTATTGTCGTGGAAAATAAAAATATTAATTACCCTAAAACCTGTACATTTTAATTGCCATGTTATTCTTATGGAAAAAAAGAAAACTGTGTTGTAGTTTGCTTGTTCGAGGATATATTTTGATAAAATTTGAAAATATTTTGGTTTTATTGTATAGGTATTATTGATATTTTATCAAATAAACCTTTTCCCTTTCCTGGAGCAGCAAATCTAAATACAGTCCAACCTCAGTATAACGAATCTGAAGGGACCGAACTGAATATTCGTTATATCAAGGGTTTCGTTAAAACGAGGTTCGTTATATAGAGGTTATGTTTGCAGGAATTTCGCTAAGTCGAGGTTCAGAACTAGCGTAGGTCAATATAGGTCGGGATTAGACGTCATTAAAACACAATTAAAGTAGCATAGGCTACAATACTTTACAGTACAGTGTTTACATTCTACAGTAGAACCTAAATTATCCGGCATAATAAAGGGGAGGGATCTTGAATATTGCGCAATCATGACAATGGCATTGACCTTGGTACAGGTTAAAAAACTGTAAGTTTAAAATCACAACTTGTTCTAACCCTCCTAAAACCTAGCCAAACACTGTATTGCGTAGTCATAAACCATGTAAAGAACAAAACAAAACAGTAGTAGAAAGTTTTGTAAGCTACTGCTCGTGATAGTCCGGTAGGCTACTTACAGTACAGTACTGATTTATCACAACAGAGGAATGTCAATAATAATCATTAACTATAGCATTGGTGTTGCTAGTTGAAACAAATCGTATTGAAAACAATACAGTAAATTATTAGATAAGGCATTATAAAAGTGTATAATCATAGCCAACTTAAAGATAATAAAAACACTCGAAAAAGGAATGTTAAAATAACGATGTTGCTATTCTTTCTCTTTGGTTTTGTTTTTATATTCTTTCTTAGGTTTCTCTTCATCCAAAAACTGTACAATTCATCATAGTTACTTATCGCCCAATCACAGCTTACTAAACATTACGTCGTCATCAGTCCTCAGTGAATGAAATCAGTTCTCAGTTGCAACATAGCGCGCGCAGCGAAAGCAGACAGAGATGTGTAAAACCACGTAAAACGGAGCAGACAAATGTTAGCGCAAGCGATGACGTCACCTTTCTTTATTCATTTGATAAAGAAACAGATTTTTCAAAAACAATAAAGGGGTGGGGGATTTGTTATATCGAGGGAAAGACGTAGACAATTCGTTATGCAGAGGTTAAATTCGCAATGTAGAGGTTCTGACAATGATAAATTCGCTATATTGAGGTGTGTTATTTTAGCCGAAATCACGAAAAATTCGTTAAATCAAGGCCGTTGTTATGGTTTGTTCGTTATGTAGAGGTAAAATATACATTGTATCTTATGGAGGGTTCTAGAGGATTTAAAAAAAATTTGTTATATCAAGGAATTCGTTGTATCGAGGTTCGTTATATCAAGGTTAGACTGTACTCATTAAATCTAATGTTATTATGGTGAATAAATATGAAATATGACTTCTTTATGGAAATATTTGAGTTGAAATCTAATCAGAAAAATTGAAATTCACTTAGTTTGTAATTGTTTGTAGTTTGTAGGTTTGTAGTTTGTCGGCGAGGGTATGTATTTAATATTATATTAATAAAAGCTGCTTGAAGATCTTAGGATGCATAATGCATAATTTTCCCTGAAAGAAATCAAATGTGTTTACGGCTGCGCTGAGGCCGGCCGAGCTACCTCCAGCCAGCTCTCAATATCCAGAGAGGAAGTAGCTATTACTATTAGACTTGTGGTAAAACCGGAATGAAATCTAAGCCAAGGACACTTTTTATTTAAGAGTCCATAGAATCCAACTTTTTGTCATTCCCCCTGTTGTGTATACTTGAATATTTTATATTGAGCATGTTATCCCCTAGGTACCCCACCGAGGCTAGACGGCCGGACAATAGACTACAGTGTGTGTACTCCTCAGTATGGAGACAACCCACCAGTGCCATTCTCATTCATGAATGACTCTGTCTGGATTAAGGTTTGTTCAACAATGATTTATTTAAATCCTATAATCTAAAACAAGCGCATGTACGGGCAAACCTTTTCCGAGGATTATTAATTTGTATCTTTAATATGGGGTGTTTGGCCACGAGAAATCAATTGGAATTGGTCACAAGGCTGGGAAAATCCAGTTTCCGTCCTACAGCCCTTGAAAGTGCCCATGTTATCGTCAATATCTTTTTGTAGCTGAAGTTAACAAAAACAGCTGATACAGATTATTTTTACTGTTATCGTTTTGATTTATGTGTAAACAAAAATAAATGTATAGGTTAGTTTGGACTAAAGGTTTTAAAGAATAGTTATATTCAGTTTGGTTTACATACATATTACTGTTGAATGTTTTCAAGGTTAATTTTATGTTTACAAGATTAAGAATGAAATGCAAAAGACCCCCGAAGCCAATATACATAATCCGAAAGGAAGAGAAGCTACAATCGATCGTCACCGAACACATACAGTACGAATCCCTAGGGCTAGTTTACTCATCCCTGTCGTATGCAGCAACTCATTGCTGACAGCTTTAGTAAAAGCCTGGCACCAGTACTTCATTTTATGTTTGTTTGAGATGTCTGTCTATTATTTATAATGTTTTTACAATTAACAGAGTAGGGCCTAGCGTCTTTGTTAAATTGTAAATTTTCTTTGTTACTGCTTGAAGACAAATGTTCTTCAGGTAGCCTAAAAACACGTTTTAAGGCTTTTCTTTAAGACCCGGATGTTTACCCCCACCATAGGTTTCTGACCACCAATAAAAAATCTGCTTCTGCCGCCCCTGAGATTTTATTTAATGAATTGTATATTTTTTCTGAAAGAAATCAAATGCGTTCAAAGTTGAAGAATTCAAAATGATGCAAAGTAGGTTTGCTGGCTTTTGGTTATAGAGATTAAAGAAAGAAATAGACTTGCAAAAAGGGCAAAGAAATCAGTACAAGAAAGGAAGCTACACTTGTACAGAAAGGAAATGTGTTTGCCTGTTTCCTTCAAAAAACCAATTATGTCATTAGAAAGAGGCATAATTATTTAGTAGAACAATCTTTTGAAGTGATTACCTTCAATACTATTTCCTTTGACAACTGTTATGCTTAGATAGCACCAGCTTCAGACAAAAGCAATTTAATGTAGTTTTCATAAATTTGCTAATTAATTTGTAGTAATTATAAAGTTGTCCTACAAAAATTTATTTTCTGAATTGTATTTAATGTGTCTCTTTCCTAAAAATCTGAACAAATTTAGTTGGAATGTCATAAGGAGGAATACTTTTCATAATTTCCAATCAACTTTAATACATAGGTACTTTTTTAAGTCTAATTTTAACTCTCCTAGCAAAAAATTATAAACTTTTTTAGAGTGGCCTGGATTTCATTGTACCAAATGTTAATTTTATTTTGAAAATAGCTGTATGTAATACATGACAAATGTTACAAAACTCATTGAATAATTTATCACGTAAATAATATTTTCTTAGTTACTATGCAAAGATATTTTCCCAGTACTCTACAATAGCTTCCTGTAGCAACCCTTCCTGGACAGGGTCACATTGCTCCTGCAGATGGCTAGAGATGAACACCATAGTGGTGTAAAACAGCTTGTTACTTTACAAATACTTACCTGTCTTTTCTACAGAATGAGCGGAAATGTCCGCTTCCCATCCACATCTACATCCATAATGCGAACAAATCCGTCGCCTTTGTGAAAAGGGTTGAGGCTGTATGGGTTTTTTTCTCCTAGGAGTGAATATGGAAACATATATTTATCAGGTTGGATCCACCTTTATGAAAATTAAATCCACAGTCTGAGTTTTTTACCTGCAGCCTGAGGAGCAGAAGCTGTGTTACCTGACGATGACGTCTAGAGATGTAGAGAAACTGGTGGTAGACAACTTACACTGCAATGTCCACGTGACAGGAGGCACTACGGGCCCTCGATACTGTCCTAGCATCGAGACAAAGACACTCAGGTACATTTCAAACATAATTCCTGAGTTTTAGGAAAAGTTTAGTTCAATAAGTTTGTAATCCAACAACATTTTAGAGCATTGTTCCTGGCTAAGAAACATATCTAAATATCATATTTAAATTGTCCAGAAGTCTTTAATTACTCACACAGCCGCCATTTTGTTTAATTCACTTATAACTTTTATTAAACGTAGTTAAATATACGAAATTGAAACTTTGCACAAACATTTATGACAATTAGACAAAGCTACAACAAAATTATGAACATTTTCCAAATTCATAAAACAAAATGGCGGCCATTTACAATGTTGTTTCTTAAATAACTCAAAAACCGTTCATTTTACAAAAGTTTTACAAGTATAACTTTTTCAAGGCAATTTAAATACAAATCGATTGACACCTTAAATGTTGACATAGGACAAATATTACCTGAGATATGGCAGCTTTAGTGATACGTGACCGCTGGAGGTTAGGTGCAGTGCATGCAGACGCAGAGGCATGCGGTCACGTATCACTAAAGCTGCCATATCTCAGTTAATATTTGTCCAATCCTAAAGTTGTCAATCGATTTGTATTTAAATTTCCTTGAAAAAGTTATTCTTGTAAAACTTTTGTAAAATTAACGGTTTTTGAGTTATTTAAGAAACAAAATTGTAAATGGCCGCCATTTTGTTTTATGAATTTGAAAAATTTTCATAATTTTGTTGTAGCTTTGTCTAGTTGTCATAAATTGTTGTGCAAAGTTTCAATTTCTTAACCACTTTTCAGAAATCAATTAATAAGGGAAAAAACAAAATGGTGGCTGTGTGAGTAACTAAGGACTTCTGGACAATTTAAATATGATATTTATTTAGATATGTTTCTTACTCAGGAACAATGCCCTAAAATCTAAAATATTGGTAGAGAGTTCCGGGACACCCTGTATACCAGTGTTGGGAAGTAGCGCGCTACAAGTAGCGACGCTACAGTAGCGCGCTACTTTTTTTGTAGCGTTAGCTGTAGCTACGCTACTTTTAAGATGTTGTAGCTTTAGCTGTAGCTAGCTACATTTTTAATGTAGTTGTAGCGGAATTTTAGCTATTTTTCTTGCTACATTAACATTTGTTTGAGATAGTGATTTTTATTATAACCTCAACCTTACGTGAAACAACCTCTTTCAAACCGAAACGGCACACGGAAGATTTCTCAGGTGCCGTTTGACGTCACTTTGAGGGAACACCAATACCGCAACGATACGGATAGAGCCATCGGCCTCGGTGGTGTAGTCAGGCCCACTTTTATAAACGGGCAGACTGGGCATATGCCCAGGGGCACCGGAGGTTTGGGGGCGCCCACCGGGTGCCCCTCAACCACCGCCTGCCTGCACTAGGAAAAAAGGGGGCACCGCTTTTGGGTTTGCCCAGGGCTCCACTGACCCTTAACGCGGCCCTGGGTGTAGTGGATAGCGTTGCGGGCTGATAATCCGAATGTTCCTGGTTCGAATCCCGCCAGCGGCACTAACTTTTTATCAACATTTTTTTCATATCAGCAAGTTTGGTTAGGTTATGACAGTTTAATTTTATAATTAAAAAATTATAAAATTGAATTTTAGGCAATTATAATTTTATTTTATGAACAAAACTATTTTTTAGATTAGTAAACCTTTATTCGATTTTTCCATTATCAGCACGTTTGGTTAGTTTGGTTAGGTTATGACAGTTTAATTTAATGATAGAAAATTATAAAATTGTCTGTTTCTTCAGTCGCAGCAGTTAGTGACGTCAGCAGTTAGTGACGTCAAACGGCACCTGAGAAATCTTCCGTGTGCCCCACCGCTTTCAAACTGAGATTTTCAAAAAAATTAGGCCTACTTTCTTGGCGTCATACAGCTGGTTACAGCCGTTTCATTCCCTATTACAAGTACAACGTTGTGTGGACATAGAGGCCATTAAATGAGTGTTATCCACATTTTTGGCTCTCATTTCCTTAATTTACTACTCTATGATTACTGTCAGGTAAAATAAAATCGCTAGATGCAGACGACGTATAAACGACCGGTGACAAGAGAAGCTATTGACTTCTTGCAAGTGATTGACAGGGAAATTAGTAATCAATTTAGTTTCTTTATTATATTGATAATGTTTCAACTTGGAGTTTAATGGAAACCAACACACCTTAAAATAATGAGAAACCTGGTCTTTCAACCTTTGCTTCAGCTGTTGATTGTGGTTTATCATCACAAGCCATTCCTTGGTTAGATTACGAAGATTTTTCAAAGGTTTACTAAATTAACAAAGATGAAATTACCTGATGAGATAAGATATGCCTAGACTACATGATAATTGTAATGAAAAATTATCCATATAACATGAAACTTACATTGAAAACATAGCATAGTTTGCTCCTGCTAACAGCTCTTGTATAGGACTGAGGCTATGGTTTAAGACGAATACCAAGTTCAATTATTAGGAATATATCTGTTTAGTCCTTGCAAGAACAAGCCTACTATAGCCAACTTGTTACATAGCCAAGTAGGCCTACATGTTATTTTTACTTTACAAATTTTAACATGTTTAAGTTTAAATTAAAAGCCGATTTCAGGATAAGTTGCTGAATACTGTTTTCTGTACCAACTAGGTTGAAGCACAATTTGCCCTATGCATAATGACAATAAAGGACGATTTCTTGACTTTGAAAAGTGTTATTCATAGAACAAGTAACTTATCACTATGGTTAAAAGTTATAGCAATGTCGTTTTTAACACTAAAAGTAAAGAAAGGCAATAAACTCCAATTTCAGTAGGCTAGGCTCTGTAACACAAAAAAGTATTTTTAAATAATCGTTTTACAGTTTTATTGGTCTTAATTGTTGATATAAGACATCTACAAATGAATCTATATTAAAGAAATATAATGAGCTTTTAAAGTATAGTGTAGTTGTATGTCCTTTGAACTTATAATGAAATTTACATATAAGATGCTTAAAAATAATAATAGCCCTATTTAAAAATAAGTACTAAATATGATGGGACACCCAACTGTTCTGTTGTTGTAATGTTAGGTTTATAATGCCAACAAATTAAATACAATCTAGGAATAATTTGTTTTTCCAAGTAATGTTAGATACAGTACTGGCATTTTTTAAATGTTTGTTCAATAAAAATGTAGTTGCAATTAGTTTTACATTTACCTAATGTGCGTGGAATAAAAAGTAACGTCTTTGGAAAAGTAGCTAAAATTGTAGCTGTAGCTACATTTCATTGTAGCTGTAGTTGTAGCTACTTAGGTAGCTTACTTACTAGGTAGGTTACTTAGGTAGCTACTTTTTCGGAACTGTAGCTGTAGCTGTAGCTAAGCTACTTTTTTGGAAATGTAGCAGTAGTTGTAGCTAGCTACATTTTAAAAGTAGCTTCCCCAACACTGCTGTATACTACATGCTTATAATGGTCAGTCCCTGGCAACTCCTTTGCAATCTTATAAGCGACGCTTCCAAGAACGCCCTAGTTCAATATAAACATAAATACAATCATAATCATTTATATTAAATACCAGTTCACAGCTATAACACCAATTTAACAAACATTACTGTTTGTTTTTAAGGTTCGTGAGAGAACGGCCAGTATGAGCCTGAAGGTTATTTTGGGCTGCCTCAACTTGAGGTGGCGAGAGCCTAATCATCTAATCATAGTGGTGAATAACAATGTAAGGAAAATACACTGCCCCGTCATATATGAATGTGCTCTGTGACAAGATTTCTGTGGTTTAAGATGTCAAATTCATTGAAGTCCGTTGTCAGTTGATGGATGTAAATGAAGAAAAGTGGTTGGCCTTAGAACATGTGTAAGGGGGAAGAGTTAGTAGATGGTTGTAAGATTTGCACAATAGTAAGATGTTTTTTGCACTGTGTGGGTTGGCTGCAGACGTACATCAGTTTAATTTTATTCAGTGACCAAAGTTTTGCTTGAAGATTTTGTATGCGATTGAACAACAGATTCCCAAACTGATAAGGGTGACACTCAGCTAGGTAAGATCAGCAAGCAAAGTTTCCTCAACCTTAACCTTAACCTTAATCTGGAAGGAAACTGATTAACAACAAGGCTGGCTCCCGGTATAAATGTGTACGGTCTTCTGCAACCTTACTAAGCCACTTATGTACATTTTCTACGTCTGGACACTCTTCTACATACTAATCCAAACAACAGGAAGAAGATTGCAATATGTGTTGATCTCCTTCTCACAGAAACCTAATCATAGATTCATACTTGATCTTTTCAAGTAAAAGCGTCAATATTTTCCCACAATGTTATTGGGTTCTCTGACAAAACTAATCCTTGCATAGGGTTGGAAACCGGCTAGAATAGTAATGGATGAAGTAAAGAACTTGACAATGATGTCAGATTTGAGTTGGCTTGCTTGGCTGTGTCAGTAGATATGTAGGGACCTCATTTTACAGACAACCCTCGAACATTCGGTAATCTAAATTACACATTTTAGATAGCCCTACACCCCCTAATCCTATAACTGCTATCGTATTGAGGGTTTAAAATCAAACTATGATTCCGTGATATATATATAATTTGTTGGTGTCCAATCTCGTAGTACTATACAATGCTGATGTACTCAGGTTTAAAGGAAGATGTCACCAGGTGTGGCTGGAGCCTGAGGGTCTAGACACCAATGTAGTCTACCCTAATGGTCTCTCTTGTACTCTACCAGCTGAGGTACAAGTGCAGATGGTACACAGCATACCTGGCTTGGAGCAAGCTGAGGTCTTACGTCCAGGTATATACTGTCAGTTACTGGTCTTAATATATTTTTAGGAATAATGAAATCTTTTTGAAAGTCCATCTCTAAACATGATCCATTGTAAAATGCTGTGAGTAGTTTAAAACAAACAGGTAAATATAATGAAGGGATAGCAGCATACTTACCTTAGAAAGAGTTGTAAGTAAACTAGTGAAAAGTGGCAACACTGCGTTGTTGATAACGGCAACAATTTTGTGAATTCCCTTTTTCTACACTTAAAAAAGCCCCACACAGGACAAAATATTGTGTGTTTATGTGTCCTCTTTGTACCTATTTTTCTGAGGTGAGATAGCTGTCATTTCTTCATTCTACAAATCAAAATCCAGGCCATAGACTTTAACAGAAAATTGATGAATATTAATCTTTAATCCAGGAACCAAAAAGTATACCTCAGCGCTTTGTTATCGAACAATGTTACCAAAAAAAAAATATTTATGTCAGCAAATTTGTCATTTTTGCTACTTAAAAAAAAAGTTACAGACAAAATAAAAATGTTACTTAAAGATATTTACAAATGGATGTCTTGTTTATATATTGTACTAGCTGTACCCGCGGGCTTTGCCCCGTTTAACTTTATAAGTGAGCTCGTTCGCATGGCTCAATCACGTCCTGGTTGAAGTTCGTTCGCTACGCTCACTCACCTTTTGGTTGCAAATTAGCTGTTGTCATAAATTTAAAAGAAATAATAGTGCTGCACCCTGTTGGTAATCATTGTAACTTTAATGCTATTGAACATCATAGAACAGAACCAACTTGTTTAATTGAAACAGCTGTTAAGATTCATTAATTCCATTTAAATATGAGTACTCATAAGGTTATAATGGGAAACTCCAGAGCCACTGGGGCGGAGCCCGAGAGTCCGATCAGAATAAAAACAGCTTAGTTTTCCTATTTAATGCCTAAAGAATCAGTGTACCAAATTTCAGCCTCCTAGGTAAATGGGAAGTAAGAGAATTAGTGGTGAGTGAGTCAGTGAGGGCTTTGCCTTTTATATATAGATTTATATTCTATACAGGGTAGGAAAAAAGTCCTGGGACAGTTAAATATTTAAAAAGTAATAAAGATAGATCTTCAAAATTTTGTACACAATTACTGGGCATTAAAATAATTGTAACACATGATTCGGTGATACACTACCTCTTCCGGGGGACGGCCCACAAGGAGTCAGAAGAAAATGTTAAATGTAAGTATAGCCTAATATGCACATCAAATTAAAGGCCTTCACTAGTAGAATATAATGACGCAAAGCTTAGCTCAAACAAACAACCGAGGCAAAAACGGCAGCCCTTCAAAGATTTCTTGAATATACTATTTTGAATCTTTGAACAGCTGCCATTTTTTACTCAGTTGTTTGTTTGAGCTAAGCTTTGCGTCATTATATTCTACTATTAAAGACCTTTAATTGGATGTGCATATCGACCTATTCATACGTTTATGGTTTTCTTCAAACTTCTGGATGATGTGGTGCGGGTTGTTTACACCCTGGGTAGTAGCGTGTAAGAAAAGCTAATTCAATTCATTTTTGAAAAGCTGTCATTTATTACCCGTTTGGGCTCGGGTTTGTATTTTATGAACAAAGACCTTTAATTTGATGTGCATATCAACCTATACTTACATTTAAGATTTTCTTCTGACTCTTAGCGGACCGTTCCTCAGAGGAGGTAGCGCATCTTGAATAATGTGTTAAATTGATCTTAATGCCCAGTAACTATGTACCAAGTTTTAAATTTCTATCTTTATTACTTTTAGAAATATTTAACTTTATTTCCAACCTGTATTTAAATTCCAGAACATATTTTTTACAGAAACATTGTAATTTGTACTTCAGGGTATGGAGTTGAATATGACTTTGTGGACCCCCGCGAGGTCCTTCCCACGCTGGAGACCAAGCGAGTGACGGGGCTATATTTGGCGGGGCAGATCAACGGCACCACTGGCTACGAGGAGGCTGCTGCCCAGGGTATACTGGCGGGGATCAACTCTGCTTGTGCGGTAGTTAATAAACAAATAAACATGTTTTTACTTAGCATTTCTCTGGTACAACTTTTGTCATTGTACTATAATTTGACCGCACAACTAAGAAGATGTATTTTATTAATATGATGTCTGTTCCATCAGTCTTTTGGCCATTAGGTAGCACATTGTACACCGAAGGTTCAAATCAAAGTATGAAAAGCTCTTTTGCGGAAGCTCTAAGGAGACTTGGTAGGTTAAGCCTCTCACCACGACTTATCCTGCACTGGGAAATCTCATCTAAAACAGAAATCCGCTTGCTCAAATAGTCAGACCCACAAAGAAACAACACTCCTTGGGTCATGCAGAATGTCAACAACATGCAAAAATCAGACTTAGGCTACTACTTCAAAAACAGGAAATAAAACAGAATTTTGAGTTTAGAACATTACTACCATACAGAAGTAGTTGACATCAGTAACAGCCTGTAATCAAATGTGGTGAAAGGGCTGCAGAATTTTTATTTCAGGATCAGTGTTGCCTACAGTATTATTTTGAGGCTTCTGATTGGCTGAGGGAACATCATTACCGCGTCGATACCATTGATGCCATCGGCCTCGGTGGTGTAGTGGATAGAGTGCTGGGCTGATGATCCGAAGGACCCGGGTTCGAATCCCGCCCGTAGCACTATTTTTTTGTATTGGATTTTTTCATTATCAACAAGTTTGGTTGGTTTGGTTAGGTTATGACGGTTTATCTTTTATTTACTTTCCGTAAATTTAATAACACGTACAATCCTATTATAATAGGATTTGAGGCATTTATAATTTTATTTTATGAACAGAACTATTTTTTTGATTAATAAACCTTCATTAGATTTTTTCATTGTCAGCACGTTTGGTTGGTTAGGTTAGGTTATGACGGTTTAATTTCATAATAAAAAAATATAAAATTGAATTTGAGGCATTTATAATTTCATTCTATGAACAAAAATAATTATTTTTCAATTACTAAACCTTCGTTATAGTCAATCAGAAGCCTCTAAATGACACTGTTGGCAAAATTAATCCTGAAAAACAAATTGTGCGAAAGGGCAAATTGTGTGTATATTTTAACATACAGACTAAAGCATACGGTCATAGAAGTTTACCCAATGTCATTCGCCTATTGGGTCTGATGATGATTGGAGTGTCCAATCAAAATCGATCACCACTCACCGTCTTTTATGTAGGCTATATTTACCGTCTTGTGAGTTAACAGTAAAAGCGTAATTATATGTTTTAAGTATTATTAGATGTATCTTTTATTTACTTTCCGTAAATTTAATAACACGTACAATGCTGATCAAGAGGTTATTTATTGCATAAACATAATTATCAATTAACCAGAGATGTAGTCTTTAATAGAACTGCATGATTGTGAAATCCATCCAATAACAGATTACAATGTTACAATGAATTAGTTATTTACATACATCAGCACACTCTGCCAGTTGAAGGAACTACATTCCTTCTTATTGTAAAACTAGCCACAACTTTTATATGCAACTTTATAAGTAGAATGGGATGTCTAATTATTTGGTCAATATTCAATAGTCAAAGATTTCAGCTTCATATTGAAATTTCTTTTTAAACTCCATAACTATAGCCCCGAATCTGTTTTGACACTCAAGTAACTATAATAAAATTTGCTGTCGTATGTTTTAAATTGCCTTTTCTTTCTCTAACATCTCAGGCTCTCGGTAGAGAGAAGCTAACAATAGATCGGACAGAAGGCTACATCGGGGTGTTGGTGGATGACTTGACTACGCAAGGCACCAACGAACCTTACAGAATGTTCACCAGCAGAGCTGAGTTTAGACTGCTGCTGAGGCCAGACAACGCTGATCTGCGGCTTACTGAGAAAGGTGTGTGCTTGCAAACAATACAACTACATCACTATCTGCATACTGAGATAAGCTGAAAACTGATTCAACAATACTGTTGTAAGCCGATCAATACGCTACATGGAATAGTTATTTGTGCAACTAGTGAGAAAAGTGAGCAATTGACTCACTCGAGAGAAATCCTTACTCACGAGCCGTAGGCGAGTGAGGAATGTTTTCTCGAGTGAGGCAATTGTACTTTGAACTCGAGTTGCACATTATACTTTTCCTACAGTTACCATAAAACAAATAAATTGGCGAAGAAACATAACCTATTTTTACACAGAAGTGAACTTTTAATATATAGTATTTAATGTGAAGTGACAAATACAACAGTACAACAGCTGACCAGCTGATTTACAGCCAGTGGTGCCAACGTATTTCTCGCGCATACGACGTTGCCTGCATGATACGCGCTCACTATTTCGTGCCTTCACGTTGCAAATCTGGAGTGAGACAAAGTAATTAGAGTGAATGATGAGCGAATTGGCCACTTTGCTTTCTCAAATCAGTGAGAGAACATGTACATTGTTAGGTAACTGAAGGAAAAGTTTGTTCCCCAAAAGGCTTTTTTGTTTTAAGACCTATTCCGACATCAAAACACGCATCTGGATGTGCAGATTTGCAAACTAGCCTCTGTTTTTTTTATATTATTTATAGCCATAAAACTCGAAAGAAATAAAAAAATAGTTTGTTTATTTGTTTATGTTTACAATTTTAATTTAAATTGTAGATCGTCCAGTTGTTTCATTTGCTTTTCCACTAAACTAAAATTTCCCGAATCTAGAAGATTGTTGTATTTTTAAGTATTGCAACATGTTAACATTCATTTAGTATTTTAACACAAACATGAGTAAAGAATCTTATATTATATGATAAAAGGTGGGAAAAACAGAAACACTGATCATATAACCATTATTGTGCATCGTATTTGTACCTGGGCATAGCCAGGGTTGCTTTGCTGCTAGTTTTGAGGTTGAATTACAATTGGTTTGGTTTTGAAAGATGAGAATCAGTGTACCTATGATGATTTCTTTTAAACTAATGTAATTTTGTGAGGCGAAACAGAGTGATGACCATGACGTTGCCGTGGTGGCAGGAAATGATATAAAATTATTTTGGATAAAAAGAGAAATTTGCTAATTTTTTGTTGAACCTAGTCAATGACACAATGCCATCCGGTAAAGTCCGTGTCTCCCATGAACAAAGCTTCTAAATATGAACCGCAAAAATTTTATAAAATACAATGAACAACAGTGTAAAGATAATCCTTATTTTTCAATGATAATCCTTATTTTTCAAAGATAATTTGTTTAGTAGTGAATTTCAGCTTACTTATTTTTATTACTTACTATTTTTTGTTGACTACTTTACTAACTAAATCAAATCATTTTATTGAGATCAAATTGACAATAAAGATTGCATTAACTATGTCATGGTACAACACTATTTACATAAATGTACATAATGTGTACATAAATGGATTCATTCATGCAAGAAGAGAAGATCAATCTTATTTTGTGCGAAATTGCACAGGTTCCCCTAGTAATAAGTTTAGAGTGAAGTATAAAGCCTTATTCATACCTACATCATACCACTTCAATACATAGAACATGAAGTTCCTTTTAAAGCATATTTTGTTATTCACTGAACTAATGTTACTTAACATTAGGTTACAACACTGGATGTGTGTCAGAAAAGAGAATGAAACGATTTTTGAAAACGAAAGCTGATCTGAATGAAGCTATTGATCTGTGCAGCGATGTCTCAATGTCAATTTATCATTGGCGCAAAAATCTCGGCCTGCCCATCCCCAACCAAGCCTCTACTACCAAAACGTGAGTTATTTGCTGAGAAAAGTCTGTTGAATGTGTTTAAGAAATTTTTAGCTATAAAGTTCTATTTCTAGACAAATATACCATTGTCCATCAAACTCGTAGTTATTTACTGAAACTGGTGTGTTAAACCGGTTTAGGAAGAATTTTAAATGTTTAATTTTATTATTAACATTTTTCAGGTTGGTGCTATTGTAGGCCTACATGTATAGATTTACAAGTAAATTGATATGATAGATAAAAATCAGGTCTCTCTCGGATTGGGCCTGATCATGATCAGTGTGACTGGTCAAAATCTATTGCCATTGTAACATTTTGGAAAGAGATTTGCCATTTTGTAAATGTTTACAGTATTAGCTTTGACTATTGATACAACAGTCAGTATCCAATAGTAAATGGTACAAGTTTGAATAATATATTGAATAATGTTGGACATGTTTTGTAATATTAGGTTTGTAAATTTGTTTAAAGGAATATGAAAAAGTAATTTTTTCAACTGCTCCAATATCTTTGAAACCATCCAAGATAGCCACTAGCCTCCAAGGACTCTTAGCAGTCCGTCTAAGGAACATGTTGGCCTTAGTCAGTAACTACACTACAAGATCGCACCACTCATCCTACACTCATCTTTATTCATACTTGACTTCCTTTGTATGGTTGACATTTCAATTTAAATTAGCCTAAAGTATTTTAAAGATCCATGCTTTACTACAGCTTTAACTAGGTTCTACAGTTGAACTCCTCTCCCTTCTCCTTCCACAACTTAGTAAATATAACCCTCTGATGGGTTCTCTGTAACTGATATGACCTCTACTTCCCAGAGCGCTGGAGTTGCTATCTTGTATCAACGACGGTGTGGACCCACAGATGTTGCTGGACCGGATGCCGCAGTACTTCCTCCCCTTGAGAGACAAGACGCATGTGTTCCACAGACTCATGGTAGAAGCCCTGTACCGCTCAGTGGTCGAGTCTCAACTACACGAGGTGGAGGCTGTGAGGAGAGAAGAGGCATTGATGATACCTCCCAGCATTGACTATACTTCGTGAGTAGAACGTTAACATGTAAACTGTAGAATTTGGTTGATGATGATTTTGATGAGTTGGATAGTTTTAGCATGATGTCCAGTCAACTAGCTGGGAAATTTTACCTGAATTAATATTTTTGGGAAAAAAAGTATATGATTTTTGTTTGGAACCGAGAAATGCCAATAGATCACCAAAAGACTTATATTTTAATATCGCCTAGAGGAGTAAACAATTATGGCAGAGGATCACAAGCATCACTGCACTTTTGGGTATATATATTACTGAGATTTTGGTGTAGTAAGTAGTTTTCAAAATCAGGTAATTATAATTTTAAAATTGATTTTAAAAAAAAAGAAGTAGCATTGAGATTAGATTTCTTACTAGATCCTATATTGTATTTTACAAAAATTGTCCTTGTATTCAGGATTGTTTTTGATTTTAGCGATTTCCCCATAAAAGACTGTTGGTCTCATAGTAGGACCTAGACGTTTCTGGTGACTGTGAGAGGGTATGATAATGTCCATACAACTGCAGAAAATTATAACAAATGTATAAGCTCTAACAAACAATAAACAAACACATGAATAGATTATGGTCTACAGTAATAGACCGATTTTATGAAAGCTGGTCCATAAATTAAAAATCACTGCAGGTCAATTATGAGCCATCGGTAGCCAACATGTTAAAATATCACTACATCCAGACCTCGTGAATCATTTATTTCCCAAACTGCTGTAGACCGATTTATAAAGTTCAAGTCAAAAATATAAACTGCTATAATCAATTGACAATTGACACACATAACAACGGAAATTTGAAATGGCAAGGAAATACCCTGGTACATTAAGGAGCCCTCTGTCTATTTGTTGTGTTCACAAAATTGACGATTGGAGTTTGGAACCCAACAAGTTAAAACATCAACTTAAAGCAGTTTCTTTCTAAATCATTTTGTTGTACGCTTAATGGTTACAGAGAAAATTCCAAATAACTGTAAATTTGTGTAGTTTGCTTGTTTATCCTGTTTTATGTCTGAGTCTAACCACCTTTATATAGATTATTTTCTGTTCTGTATATTGAATCAAATTGATAAGATTACCACCAAACAAATCTAAAATTGCCATGTCATGAATAAATCAACCCCAGGCTGATTGGCTCATAGACAAAAAGAATTAAATATAGACTGTCAGCTGTGCTGTGGTTACCATGGTTACCATAGGTTCTGGCGCACACCGCTGGGAGCACCATGTAGTTACGTAGTGCGTATGCCTTAACTATATGGCGCTCCCAGCAGTGTGCGCCAGAACCTATGGTAACTGCAGCACAGCTGACTGTCTATGTTTAATTCTTTTTATCTATGATTGGGTGTTACAAAGTATTTGTTAGTCATAACAAAATTCATCTAAACTCTGTATTTTAGCAATATGAGTAAATGGGCAATGCTACCTTATGTTTGTCGCCATTGATGCCTTAATTTAATTACCATTTTCAATAATAGTGTAGTTGTCATGATAGTAAACTAATTGCCAAAGTAAGTAGGTACTCTTGTTTTTGTAGCATTAATCTAAGAATGTCTTTTAAGATGAGCTACAGTTATGTTTTACTATTTAATGTATTTATAAAACTGTTAGTGCACTTTTTACAGAGTTTTTTTTTTTTTTTTTTTTTCATTAATTCAGAGAGAAGATGTCCTTGTCGTTTGAAGATAGAGAGAAGCTTATTGCAGTCCAACCTCAAACTGTGAGTGTTTTTTGTATATCTATAATATAATAAAGAATATGTGGTAACTGTGTGTGTATGTCTGTCTGAAAAAGTTTCAAGCGTTTACCAACACTGTATTTTCACTACAGCCAATGTCTGCTTTCACACTTTTGTCTAAGGCTTGTTAGTTTTTAACCTTGTCTAAACCAAGAACCTCAGAGACATAGAGTCCCGTGGTGGCAGCTTAAACATCAGTAACACTGTGATAAAATATACATAATGGAGTAGTAACTAGCACACAACATAGGGATGGTAAGAATACAAGATTCATTTTGAAAAAGTAGGAAGACAGAAAGATTTGCAGCTCTTTGCCATCTACACGACTGCAGCCTATGATGTCATTTCAAACCTGTGCTGCTCTCCTTTGTCTAGATTTTGACCCCTGTATAACAATGGTTAAGAGTTGATTAATTTTTCTTGCCGGGTTTTTATTTTCTTACCATATATTGTTTTAAAACCGATAAAAATTGTTTTCTGTCAAATTACATAAAAAGTATGTTTGTGTTCCCTTTTCACCAGTTATGAACTTTCAGATTGCTGCAGCCAGCAGAGTTCCAGGCATCAGTCCATCGTCCATTGTTCAACTCATGTACCACATCAAGAGGGAGTTAAAAGCTGTGTCTGTGTAATAATAGGGAAGGTATAATACTTTGTACTGTTCCAGAAGCTTATGATATTCTCTGATTTGTATTATAATAATAATTTTCTTTACTGACAAGCATTGTCAAAATGTACATTCAATTTTCAAAACAACTCAAGTAATAATATATTAATCTAAATAACTGAGTCATTCAAAACTAGGTATATATCATGTTTGTTTGGCAATTAAACTATTGTGCAGTCGTTTATTAATGTTTTTGTACTGTGTTTGGTTTTAGACTAGTGTGCTAATAAATATTTTATAGCCGTAAACTGCATGTTACTATAGAATTACCACGTTTCTGTAGAAATCACCTCTTTTTAAAAATATAATAAATTTTAGTGATGTGTCTTCTGAGTGAAACCTTCACAGTATTGTGAAAAAGTTGCAACTAAATAATAATTTGGTTTCCAAGGGAACAAGGAATTAAACCCATTAAAATTCAAAAAAATACTTTTATTGGTTTTCGAAACAACCAACACTGTCGTTTTCTTATCCTGCAAAACAAGCTGCCAAATGGATTACTACAGTAAACAGAAGACTATCAGCTTAAGTTACAAAAGTGGTTAACAACATTTAAACAAAAGAAACAACAACTATTTGGCTATCTGCTGTATCAGTCTTGTTCTTGGCAGAAATGCTTTTATTTGGTATTTCATTCTAAAATCGCTCGATTCAGATCTTTATTAGGTTTCAAATCATATTAGGCAACCAGAATTGTTTAAAAGTCGTTTCAAATGCTCAATTTTCTTTTATCAATATAGTACAAGCTTGAAACTGAAACCCAACCATTTGGGACACATAAAACCTATTCTTCAAAATGGGTAGTTTTTATTTTTTTTTGTTTATTTAATTTCAAGTTATAAAGTCCAAACAAACTATAACTTTAAAGATAAAGTAAATTCAATTATTTTAATCAATTTTGATAATTTACCTATTATTAAAAAATATCTAGTTTTAATAACAAAGATCTGAACCCAAATTGTAGCAAACCAAATATCATAAATGTTTACAAAAATAAACATAAGAAACAAATAATACTAAAACATAACAGCTAAAGCTTATATTGTTAAAAATACTTATGTCAACCTAGTTTCTAATATTTACAAAAAAATACATACTATCACTAAACACATATAAATTCAGTTGTGGAGGATTTTAATTAATCAAACAGGAGGCGTAGAGCTTAGCGACTATTAACTTTGAACAGCAATTTACATTTTGACAAGTCAAAAAATTCTTTACATTTACTACATTCTAATGATGGGGAAATGTTAACAATAATCATTATCTAGTTCAAAAGCCATAATGAAACTTGTAAATAAACCTCCTTGCATAAACTGTTCATTGATGATGGTTCATTTCATGAGTCTTTTTAAATTGTCAAATCCAAATTCCTTCAAAATCTAAAAATATTTTTAACTTTTGTGAAAGGTACAAAAAACTTTTGTCAGGACTTTTATATCTAAAAAAAATAGTTGTGTGTAGGCCTATGCAAAATTGGCACTAAAATAGCCAAAAATATTACAAACAGTATCAATGTTCTATACAGTAATACCGGTAATATAAATTTAAGTCAATTACCAACATGAGCTTGAACACGAGATTTCCGTTTGAACAAACATCACTATCAAAATATGTATTTTCTTAATGCACACAGTTCAGAGTCTATGTCGAAAAATTACAAAACCTCAAAGTCAGTTTTCCCAATATTTCAATTGGGTTAATTAACAAAGTGTAAAAATATATTTGTACTTGTAACAATTCTTCCAATTTCAAAATGTTTAATTGATTCCCACAGTAAAAGCAAAGCTTTGATATCACAAAGGGGAATCACATAAAGCAAACTATTGTCTGATTATAAAATACTTGCTAGTCGTAAAGCTATGAACACACTATACATATGTACACGGAAGCATGAACTAACACAATGTCTCCATCCCCTTTGTCGTCGAGGTGTTTTGTTCACCGCAGGAGGGCAGCGCATTGGATGAGGACGACCTTGCGTGGTTGCCATCCCCGGGGGAGTCCCGGTAACACCAGAGTCGCTTGAGTCCTGCCCAGACCTGAATAAGGAAATTTTTTGTATTCACTGGTACTTGGTATTTTTAGGTATTAAAAGCAAAGATTTAGCATTAAATCTATTTCAACTTTTGTTGTTGTTCTATCTTTTGGTCGTACTGCCAAAACAAAACAACAAATTTACAAAAATCCAATGACGACAAAACAAAACCAAGTTTCACCATCAATCCTTATGTGATGTAATTTCTATCACAGTGATATTTTTGTACTTAATTCAGATAAAGACATAAATCTTTAGGCATAAAATTAGATTTTTTAATGCTCCTCATAACTAGTAATTGGTTAATTAAATAAAACTTAAATAAATAAAAATTCCCTTTAATAGCAAGTGTTCCTCAGTACATAACGCTTCCCAGGATAACTCTTATCATTTAATTTATGTTAACTTTCTCAAATCTTATAACAGAAAAACTGTTAGATAAATTATTTACAATAATTTAGAGGCCCGGATAGCCTTAGAGTTAAAAGATACTGTTTTCCCAAAAAATTCCTTAAATTGTTTGTTTCTTCTGGTTATTGGACCTCATTTATAATAAACTTGCTGATGCCATGATTGTCTTTATATTGTAAATAAACATTTTGATGATGAAATGTGGTACTTCCGGAATACCATAAAAATCCTGTTTTGAGCTACATGTAATTTCTCTATTCTATTTCATTTAACAAGAATTTTCTTATGGTTTTATCATATACCTGAGGTTGGCAGCCTACGACAGCGAAGATGAGAACACCCTGAAGGGCGTTGATGAGGTCAGTGAGGTACCAGAGATAGTTGGGACCTCCGACGACCCACGAGACAACATCAGCGACCCATGTTACACCCATCACCACAACCAGCTTGAGGCACACTCGCCCTAGAGTCGCCCTGCGGGGAATACCACAGTTAATAACAGTCATCTTTACAACGTTCTGGAATGTCTGATAAAACAGAAACAGGTGATATTGTCAGTGAAAATGAATACTATGGGATTGTGTTTTTGGCCTCTTGGGTACATCAAAACGTAAAAGTAATTTGGTACCGGGTCTAGGCCTTACCATGAGACCTAAGGTAATAATACCTTATTCCCTACATGGGAATTCCCTAAAAACAAAACTTTTCAGATTACAAGTTATATTTAGGTGTGAATTTATTGGTACCTAACTGTTGTAACTTTAACCTAATAAATGTAAAAAAAAAGAAATGGTGTGAATTCTTAGTAACTTAATGTTAATCCACGGAATATAACTATAGTTTGATACTAAATTGGTCCTCAAAACAGTCTTTAAGTTTATCATCTTCTATTTAAAAGTCCATTATTTGTGTTTATGCAAGTAAACATACATTCTTGTAGAGCTTTACAACATGGAGAATGTTATCACATTAGTGCTGAAGCTAAATGTGATCTCTAGACTACTACAATAAGCACCTCGACCCCAGTTTCAATATTCATTAGCATTCCACAGGCATCATTAAAATAAGAAAAGTGGAGTCCCTAGGCTTTGAAATTATATACAAAAAAATGTAAAGAATCAATTACCGTACATATATTGTGAGCATCAACTATTTTGGAAGTCGTCCCTAATTAATACCTCTGTTCACAGTTGTAACAAACACGCCTAATTATGTAACTAACAGAGGTTGAGAATGTAATTATGTTCCTCTCCAGGGGTTGATCATTAGACTGCTGCCAGTCAGCAGCCTGAGATGAGCTGCTCTGCCTGACAAAGACTGACTTTACAAACAGTGAACAATGGCTTGTTGCCTCCAGATTGGCTCCTCAGTTGACTTCATTCAAGTTTACATTGTTGGCATGAAATTATAGAAGAGAACAATGGCATTTGGATACAAAGGATACTGTGGATAACTTTATGGAGATTTGGAGTTGATGGATTTGGAATCAGTTCTTGAGGAAATTGGATCTTCACGATTCAAGATTGTTTGAGAAAAATATGTAATTGGGCATGGAGATTGGTTGTTTTTAACATTCCAATGATAGTGTGTACTACTACCTACAGAGATTCTTTTGTTCATTGTACAGAAACAGATAGTTTTAAGTAAATTTTAGTCAAACTATTTTTATTTGTTCCCTTGTTTTTAACAAGTTGAACCAGAAAGGGAACTGTAGTGGATAACTATTTCAAGGTTGAGGGAGTCCTTATTTTTTCTACTGAAGCTGCATTTAGATAACACTCTGATTGGATATGACAAACATTCTCTCCTTCAGGCATCAATATAACATGTATCAATTGTTCCTTCATAAATCAATATAACGTAACAGGAAATGTAACCTGTCTCACAGTAAAGTTGACGCTAATTACACAATGATGCATCATTCAACAATACTACAATGAGGGCAGTAAAACCAAATTACATGCACCTGACAAAGCATAATAGCTCCAGCTTCCTCTTCTAGTTTTTCAGTTTGTTTTGTCATAAAAAACCAAACTACAATGATGAAACCATACCACTAGTTTTCAACTATGTGAAAATAATCATCCTATTTCTCACTCTGTTTCCTGTATGTTCTATTGTTTTTATTGACTCATTGCGACTGTAGGATTTAAAACAAGGTAGTTGAAATCTGAGAAACATTTTTTATAGCTTAAACCATAAAAAATATTGTCTTTATTTTTTAATCAAACCATGTACGGCTTGGACTTAAAATCAATTATTATAAAAATTAAATCTACACCAGGAAAAGTATTTGTAAATCTGTATGAGTGTCTTCAAACATAGAGTAAATCTATATTTAAAATCAAGAACATTCTCACAGTTAAAGTTTGTCACACACTATTGCATTTTGTATGCAATTTGATCTACTAAAATTACCGGTAACTCTGTCTTTTTTTCTTTGGAGCAGCCAGCAAGCTAGGGTAGTGATAGCTTCAATAGTAACCTTGGACTTAATTACTCAACACTTTTAATCTTGTTCAAAGATAAACAACAGTAATTTTAAAACTTATCGTAGTACTACTAGGAATTGTAGCCTATGGAATTTATAATTTACTTAATTTGAATATTACCTTACAATAATGTTAAAAGTTTAGACTTTTTACAGATTAAAAATATCATATGAAGTTTAAGGTAAATTTACGATACCTTTCTGTGTTAGATTTGACAACTTCCGTCTTCCAAAGTCCACAAGTGAGTTCTCGAGCAGTCGCAGCAAACAGAGTCAAGTTGAGGAGCAGCAGAACTGCGATTGGTCCAAAGAAATAGGAGAATACTTCCGTGTCACCTGTCACAAATATATAACAATAAGTTACTGGAAAAAGTAACTTAACACACAAACATGACTAAACGAGACAGCAAAAGAGATGTTTTAAAATAAGTAAAGGAACTTGAAATAGTTAGGTAGTAGGTAGGTTAGTAGGTAAAAAAAAAACTTCAAAAGAAACTATAAACACATACAAGATGCATATACTCCATTCATACTTGGCTTAAAATACCTAAGTAAGTATATACCCTACCTTTAAATCGTTTTACCTGATTTATAGAAAGAATAATCTACAAATTTTTTTTATTCATCATCAGGGTAGACATCCAATTAAATCCAATCTATATAAACCAACGGGACATGGAGAACCGGCCACCTCTGGCCCTAATCCAGATATAGAAGTTTGGTTAGGTTATGTTAAATTGGATTATAAATATGGCCCCTGGATTTATGACCGGTAGCTGGTACCCATACAATCATAAACCAACACAGCAATATTTTGTTCAAATAGAAAATATTTGAATGAATCAAAGATTATTTTAATCTACAATTGGGTCCAGTGAGAGACCGTCTAACTTTCCTAAGCTAAAGCTATTGTGATCTCCTCTCCTAGCAATCAGAAGACCATGGTTTGATCCTGAGATAAGTCAGAAGCTTTTATAAGGTACGTCACTCTGTTGTTTCAGTGTGGAAATCTAATCTAATTCTATCATAATTCCTCAATGATGTTACTGTAAATGTCACCGCATTTAACAAAATATGTTCACTAATTGCTATAACCTCTTTTAGCGAGTTTCCCATAGGGAATGAGCTATTACCGTAGTACTCATGGTAAGACCTGGACCCGGGACTGATTTACTTTTTCGTTTTGAGATCCCTAGAGACCAAAAACACCATCCGTTTACATTCATATATATATATTTATATATGTGTCTGTTAGCGCGATAACTCAACCGTTTTATTTTGTTTACCATGCCATGTTTCTCATTTCTTGATTAAATTAAAATATTAAGGAAACAGCTGTTGTAATGATAACCTAATTTTTAAAAACAAATCTATGCATAACAAATGAGAGCTATCAAATAGGTTTCTATTCCATTTGTTTTTTACGCATATTTGTTGTCAAATGTAACTGAAGGCAAGTGAGCGCAGCGAACGAACTCCAACCTAAAGGTGAGTGAGCGTAGCGAACGAACTTCAACCTGGAGGTGAGTGAGCGTAGCGAACAAACTTCAACCTGGAGGCGAGTTGAAGGCAAGTGAGCGCAGCGAACGAGCTCCAACCTAAAGGTGAGTGAGCGTAGCGAACTAACTTCAACCAGGACATGATTGAGCCATGCAAATGAGCTCATCTTGAAAATGAACGAGCATTTGACATAAAACCACATTAGGACAGGACGACGTCTGTCGGGCCAGCTAGTTTAGTATATTGAAGCGTTAAATGCGCCTAATGGTTACGGAGAAAATTCCAAAAAACTGTAAATTTTTAATTCCCATGTTATTTATGGAGAATAAGTAAACTGTTGTAGTTTGCTTGTTTATGATCATATTTTGATCAAATTTGGAAAATGCATTCATTTCATACTAAACTACTAACATTTTACAAAAAACACCTTTTTACCCTCCCTGTCGTAGCAAACCTAAGTACTCGTTAAACTAATGTTATTTAAATAGGGAATAAATGAGATATTTTTAAGGAGACATTTGAGTGTAAATCCAATCAGGCAAATATGGAAATTCGCTTAGTCTGCAGGTTTGCTGCGGCGGGGGTATTTTACTATTTTATCATTTCCCTACCAACAGTTTACTCTGAACACCAAGTTACCTACCATAGAACCAACAGCGCTTCTCTCCAAACCTAGGCTTGAGCAGGTTGGGGTATGAGTCTTCAGGTAGGTGGTCGCACACAGCAGCTACGCCTGCAATCAGCAAGGGTCCTCCCCAGGCGTACAGCTCATAGAACCTCAGGCGGCAAGCCTCCTGGCCCTTGTCTAGGTTGGATGGCCGCAGGTCTCTGTGAAGAAAAAGAAGTATTTTAATCACCTGTTTTTTGTTGTTGTTTTTGTTTTTATTTGCAATATCAGTGGCATTTTGTAATAGAGAACACAACCCCTTTTAAATTAAAGAAGTCTGTGAACCCCTAAAATTGTTTGGTTGGTAGTGAAGTTTCCACTTTGTTTCCCACCGACAAAACGATTTAACAATCACTACTCAGTACTCAAGTTCTAAGAGAGGTTTGTTTTCGTTTACTCATTGCAAATTATAATCAGCTGGTGTGATTGGCATGTTTGATATATTTCGTACGAAAAAAATTTCTAATCTAAAAGAAATCAATACTGTATCACACAAAATTAGAGTTTTGAACTGTCATTATTTCCAATTCCAATCAAAAGGGTACCTATGTAATGGACAATTTGTAAACCACGACATCAGCTAGGCCTGAAAACATTCTTCTTACAGCGATTCTTATCTTAGTCGTGACAACACAGAGTTGCAGCATAACGGTCCAGTTAGTTATCGACAATCAGATAAATTGGCAGTTGCATCACGATAATCAGCTGTTGGCCTAATGTAGATGTAGCAGGGATGAGTGGCCTTGCGTGACGCTGTCCACGTGTAGGCGTGGTGGGGGGGTGATGTGTCACGCTGTAGCTGCCCCCCCCTCGTATTCGTCTGTCCAGTGTCCACACGGCGCGGTTCAACAGTTCAAGGTCAAGACTACATACTTTGGAACATTCTATGTTTTACGTTTCAATCCTATACCTTGTTAGAGTTGCATGTATTCATAAACATAATTATGAAAGGAAGGCTCGGGAGATAAGGATTTGATTAATGCTTAGCTTAGCACATGTACCTGTTTACCATTTCTTTAGAAGTCTGCAAAAGCAATATTGTATTGCAAAAAAATAAATGTTTATTTAAACTAGTTCAAAAGATTACAACCCTCCGGTATGCGTCGATTACCGTATAGTATGCGCCGATCCTTCCAGTGCACAAATACGTTTTATAGTCTTTCTAGAGAAGATTTCAGACGATTTAAGTCAAGTGTAAAAATTGAACTTAAATTAAAGTTGACTAACTTGTTAGATTAAACTTGTTTAATGCAGAGAAATTCAATGTAATTTTGGGAATTACCAAAGCTGGAATGCTGGTATGACTACAAATTGAAGCAATTACTGTATTGTAATAAATGGAATACTGTACAGTCGGTTCAAAGAGCAAACTACAGTAATACTAATCTGTATATAAAATCGTATTGATTTTGTTCTCTTTGGCGTTGTTCTTTTTTTTTGTACCGTATCAAGATCCTTATCTGGATTATCGTTAACGTTTTTGTAGGATGATCTTGTCTGGAATGCGTAATCGTGTCGTGGTTGGACGTTGGTCGTTGAACCGCTGTCGTTACAACGACGTGATTGGTCTACAATGAGCCGAGACTGATCGTACAAAGACTGTACACAATGTGATCTCGAGTGAGAAAGATGGGAAAAATAGTTTCTTTCATCAGAGTTCACGAGAAGTGAAGCTTGAAATAACCAGGACAAAAGTGGCTTCTATACGAACTAGAATAACGGTGTTATTGGATACTACTTGGGGTACCTGAGTTCAATATTTTTTATCGCTATGTTTCAGCTTAGAGATTGTATTGGTTCAATGTTGAACTTAGTTACTGTTCAATAAGAGTTACATTTGGACTAATCCCTCACAATCTATCTTCAGTACAAACCAATTTGTATAATTTAGATAGATCATGAGAAGAAAAATACTTAGTCTCTGTGCTTTTTAGCGAATTTCCCATATAGGGAATAAGCTATTACCGTAGTACTCATGGTAAGACCTGGACGCGGGACCGATTTTTTTTTCGTTTTGAGGTCCCTAGAGGCCACAAAAACACCATCCGTTCAAATTCATATATATATATATATTTATATATTTATATATTTATATATATATATATATATATATGTGTCCGTCAGCACGATAACTCAAGCAAAAATGATCCGATTTTGATGAAATTTGGTACAAACGTGTAAACCTACGTTTATTCGAACGAGTTCGCGATCCAGCATGATCGGACCATGGGAACGGGTGTTTACGGGGGGTTTTATGGGGTAAAAATAGGTTTTTCCCATTTTTGACCCAAAAAACTTAAAATTTTGCAATTTATTTCCAAACCATTTTGTAGAGCTTAAAAAAACAAATAATTTAGTATATTGAAGCGTTATTATGCGCCTTACGGTTACGGAGAAAATTTCAAAAAATTGTAAATTTAAAATTCCCATGTAATTCTTATGGAGAATAAGTAAACTGTTGTAGTTTGCTTGTTTATGAACATATTTTGATCAAATTTGGAAAATGTTTTTATTTCTTACTAACTATTAACATTTTACAAAAAAAAACAATTTTACCCTCCCTGATGCAGCAAACCTAAGTACTTGTTAAACTAATTCTATTTAAATCGGGAATAAATGTTATATTTTTAAGTAGACATTTCAGTGTAAATCCAATCAGTCAAATGGAAATTCGCTTAGTCTGCAGGTTTGCTGCGGCGGGGGTATTAGTTTGATTCAATAGACACTTCATTATCAGCAACTATTCAGCAACATCAGCAACTATTCTCAAATTTTGTCTTCGGGTGTTGACAGAATACAAGGCCCTAATTTTCAAGGCCAGCTATCAAACTGAAAGGGGTTTTGTTGGGTCAAAATACAAAAATTGCATCTATCTAGCTTTTGTGGTTGACGACGCACACAACTAGACTTCAGCAACTCTCGTCATACTTAGTCTTCGGGTGTTGAAAGAATATATAAAGGAACATAGCCTCGAATTTAAGCCAGCTATCAAATAAAAGTTTTTTTTTTTATGCAGGAAATGTTCATTATTGACTACATTAAAACGGTTTCCATCAAAGGAATGCTATACAGTAGTTATCGATGTGAAATATCTGCTTGAAGAATCTTGACATCGCTATTAACTCCTTCACTGCACCTTGACGTCACCGCAATTTCTTACCGGATACTGCAAGATGTTGCACAACATTACAGACCAGCTACTGTTGCTGGGAATCTGTCTTGTAGCGCCGCTTGTAACTTACCAGCTGAGCTGACAAGCAGCTATACTTGTGTTGATGACATCAGCAGTATTGTTAGCAGGGGTGATAACTATGGTCGAGAATTGTACCTATAGTCCATGGTGATTGTAGCCTAGACATTCCATCACCATGTTAAATTTGTAGCTAGTTTTTTTTACCAAAAACGTCGTAGTTGGTGTGAGCCACCGACAGATTGTGCTGATCTAAATTACTGGTTTCGTATACACAATCTTTTTACCAATTCAAACTAATGAAATGGCTTATTTTGAGCTATAGCAACTGTTAGGCCTAGCGCACACGGTCGATTTTTCGATCGGCCGATTAAAAAATCGGCCAAAAATAAATCGCCCTTGATTTATGTCTAGGCGCACACGTGGCGATTTTTTAGTCGAGAAATTGATTTTTTTGAGTGCGTTTAAGCTATCCTAAAATGAACTTTGTTGAATTAACCTGTGTTTGTGCTCTTCTAATTAGACCAAAGAAAAAAAGAAGACAACTTAAATATTGGGTTCAACCGATAGTAAGTCAGAGACTTTAAAATCGACAGTTTTATAAACTATACACTTTACGTGATGACAGTAAAAAGTTCTTTAATTACTGTTTAATGTCTGTTGAAAGTTTAAGTTCTTAAAATAACAGCTGTGGCCTTTTCAGCAAAGAAAACAACACAACTCACACCACTCCTGAGGAGAACAACAAGCGACTGGCCGATTTTTTAGTCGACCGTGTGCGCGGACTGATAACAACCTGTACGTTACAGATTTTCGGGCGACAATCGCCTCGCCTACGAATCTGTGGCAAAACCCAGATTTTAAAATCGGCGCAATTCTCGATCGCCTGTGTGCGCGCTTCCATTCAATTACATGATGCACAGATTGGCCGATGAAATAGTCGCCTCAAAATAATCGCTCGTGTGCGCCTAGCCTTAATGACCCATCAACTTGGCCAGGAACAAAAAAATAAGGTGGAAAATAGAGTTTTAGTCACTAGCGCATTCTGTGACTGGCTCCCACAACTAGGGTTTTTTAACAAAGAATTGGCTACATTTGGTTCATAGGCTACTGTAGATGGGATGTCTACTTCAGTATCCAATGGTCAATTCTATAGCTATGCGCAAGAATTATACAGTTTAAGGATCTGACAAATGCTATCTTCTCAGGTTTGTTGTTTGTTCGAATAAATGATTCAGTAATAATAAATATTTTTACAATTGGATTTGGAAAAGGTTGTCTAATCCAAACCAATGTTATATCATGATACTGTTTGCATTTTTAATTTTAACTTTAAGCATCTTAGATAACGTACTTTGAAGTATTTCAATTTATTAACATTGCAACTACAATTATAATTATAGCATGAATACTAAAACAATTCTACTAGAGAAATAAATACCTCCGTCGCAGCAAACCTGCATACTAAGCGAATTTCCATTTACCTAGCTTGATTTCTACTAAAATATTCCCTTTAAATTTTCAGATTTATTTCCTATAACATTAATTTTAGTGAGTAGTTAGGTTTGCTGCTACGGGGAAGATGTTGAGGTGTGTTTTTTTTTTCAATTAAAATATTGATAGCTTAGTATGAAATAAACCAAATTGCCAAATTTGATTAAAATATATCCATAAACAAGCAAACAAGAACAGTTTATTTATTCTCCATAAGAATAACATGGGAATTTTAAATTTACAATTTTTTTAATTTTCTCCGTAGTCAATGAACATTCAAAAACACTTCAATATACTAAATTATTTGTTTTTAAGCTCTTCAAAATGGTCTAGAGAGAAATTTAGAAATTTAAAGTTTTTAGGGTCAAAAATGAGAAAACCCCATTTTTACCCCATAAAACCCCCCATAAACCCCTGATCCCATGGTCCGATTGTGCTGGTTTGCGAACTCGTTCGAATGAATGTAGGTTTACACGT